CTCTCTGAGTTTGCAACCAAGCAAAGCTGAACCGAAACCTTAAATCCTTAAGACAGCATCTTCAGGCAGGAATTGCATATTAAACATGCTGTCTGGAAGAGCACTCCTTTTGAGAAGGGACTCTAAACCCCTCAACCCTAAACCCTAAACTCTTGAACAACTGAAAAGCTTGGGGCTGGGGTTTAGACTGAGGCCCCCATGGCCATACGATGTAGGGCCAACCCTAAACCCCAAGGTCCAAGGCAAAGCACGGCCTAAGAAGGTCAAGTCTCGAGTTTTCAATGCCTGGCAGTCTCGGCACTTCAGTCCTACGTGATATGAGTTCAAGTCTATGACATTCACTGTAGGCCACCCTGCGCCGTAATCGAAATCTTCATCCTCATCGGAGGTGGTGGCCTCAGGATCTGAAGTCCTCGGTGGCGGTTTAATTGATAATAATGTTGGTGATGATGATGATGGTGATGATGATGATGAGGATGGTGATGATGATGATGATGATGAGGAGGAGCATGATGATGGTGATGATGGTGGTGATGGCGATATGACGATGATGATGGTGGTGGCGGTGGTGGCGGCAGCGGCGGCGGCGGCCGTGATGGTGGCGGTGGCTGAGATGCCGATGCCGACGCTTACGGCTGATCGTGATGTCGATGCCGATGCTGATGATGATGGTGGTGATGATGATGGTGATGATGGCGATCGCGGATGCGGGTGGGCATGAGGAGGAACAACAGGAGGAGCAAGAGGAGGAAGAGGAGCAAGTACGAGACTAGAAATAGTAACTGTCCAACTTCTGCATGGCTACTAGTACTAAGACTTGGCAGCAGTCCTAGCACGAGTTGTCCTTCATGTTGTCCGAGGAAGCTTGGGTTTCTTGCCTGATCATCTGTACATATCTGGCTCGCCGAAAACTGAGATCTAGAACCCTGCTGGACAAGCACGAAAGCTATCACGAAGAAAGTCTTTTGCGCCTGCCCACCAAAATCCCTGAATCGATTTAGGGTGTGCAGCCGCAGGCGGGAATCTAACAAATCTCGGCTTAGCGTAGCACGCGCGGTGAAGACTCAGATCGTGGCGCTGCCCTCCAGAGCGGTATGGGCTTCACTGCCCCAAGCTTCTGAGCGCGGGGATGCGATCGAGATCCTCCGAAAACTCACAAGTCGACTACGCACTAAAGGGCAACAATATGGTACATGGGAGAGGTTTCGTGATGAAGCATGTCAATGTGCAGCTGTTGAGTTTCAAGGGTGAGCATCATATAGAAGACTAAATAAACCCTAAACCCTAACCACTAAACCCTGAATCCCTAAACCCCTNNACCCTAAAACTGCCAAGACCGTCCCTTCGGGTTCCAATCGAAATCATCGTAACTACAATGCAGCTGACTAGCCCCGCAGCACAAAACTTTGTCAAAGAGCGCTTATAGGCTTATAGTAACCCTTGCAGAACCCCTCAGAGAACTCTCTAAGGAAGCCTTGTCTAATCATTAAACCCTAAACCTAAACCCTAA